AATGACCCTCCATCCCCTTCCCTACAGAGCACACAGCTACATGAGGGGCTCTGGAATGTCTCGTGTGACATCACACCAAAAAACTCCACCGCCACCCCCACAAGGGGGAACCCCAAAGGGAATTGACCCATTTTAAGGTGTCATGTGACTTCTGAGGAGCCCTAGTCGGGATTTGAAAAAGGAAACCCCGGAAAAGTTTTTTACAAGGCAAGAGGTTGGGGGGCTCTGGGGGAAAGTAAAATGCCCCTTTTTCCCTATGTACCCAAATGTTTTTGCCCCATCCTTACTTAATTCACATCTCCCCCTTTCTAAAGAAGCTTATAGTTAGGCTTTATAACTCACTTCAAAAACATTGGGCCATTTGCTCCCAGCAATCTTTGGATTGTGGGAGAAAAAGCAAGTTGGAGGAAAGCCACACAAAATGGGAAAACATGAAATCAAAGGTAGCACAATGGATAGGTTTCAAACTAACAACCCTGTGTTCCCGTAGAGGTGCAAACCCTAAGCACTGTGCTCCCCAAAATTTTTGGGGGAATCTGCTCACAGGGGGACAACTGACCCTTTGTCCGTGTTTTTAACGGGACTTTTTGGAGACTGCACAAACAGGAAGCAAATAATGTAATTTTTTGTTGTGGGGTAGGGCATTAATACCCCCTGCCCGCCATATAGCCCAAATGAGGGCCCCAAAGGGGTGGTTTTCGTTTGGGAGGCGTCATATTTTTTTATTTTATTTATTTACAGTTTTTTATAAAGTAAAAAGGTTCGCTCAGCGCGTAAATTAAAAAGGGGGGACAAAACAGTGAAAAAACAAACCAAAAAAAATGCAAAACATGAGGGGTTTGGGGGGGCCCCGTTTTAAGTTTAAACTGGGAGGGGGGGGATAGTGAAAAGGGGAGAAAGCTGGGGGGATGGAGTTTGGGTGGAAAGAGTGGAAAAGGTCGGCAAGTTGAGGGGGGGGGGTAGGTTCCCCAAGAGTGGGTTTTTCGGGTGGCCTAAAGGAGAGGAGAGTAGGTGATAATCTGATTTTGGGGCGGGAGTTCCAGAGGATGGGTGACACCCGGGAAAAGCCCCTGGAGGGGGCATGGGAGGGGGAGGGGGGGGGGGGCGGGGATGAGGGAGAGGTGAGAGGAGGCGGAATGTTGGTGGGCGGGTTGGGGATGGGGGGGAATGGGGGGGCGGAGAGGAGTGTCGGACGTTGGGCCGGGGGATGGAGGGTCATGGGCGAGATTTGGGGATGACGGTTGGGTAGTATTTTTGGGGTGGGTTGTTTTTTTCGGGGTGGGGGAGGGGTAGGGGGGGGCGTTTTTTGGGAGGTGGGGGAGGGAGGGGTCGGGTGTGTGAGGGATTGGAGGGAGTTTTGGGGGGGGGGGAGTGGGGGCCCCCCCCCCCCCCCCCGGGGGAGGGAGTGGAATGAGCTGGTTTTAGTGTTTTCTGGGGTTAGAACGTGCGTCTTAGGGCGATGTTGCGGAGGTGTATGGTCTGCATTTTTTTTTTTTTGGATTTGGATGGGGGTAGAGTAAAGGATTAGGTTGGAGTCCGATGACACCAAGTCCTTCTGGGTCGGCAGTGGGCGTGGATTGCGGGATAGCGTTGGGGGGGTGTGGCGGAGAAATCAATGGGGGGGTGGTTTGTCGGGCTGTTGGGGGGCGAAAAAGGTGTCGATTTTGGGTAGGTTCAATTTGGCGGAAGTTGAGGCGACATCCAGTTCTGATGATGTCGTCTGTAGGTGTGTGTTTGGGCTGTGACCAAGGGGGTGCAACGGTTAGGAGGTGCTGTTGAGAGATACGATTTGTGTGTCGTCGTTTTGTATTAAGAGGAAACGAGGTAGGGTGAAGCGGGTTGAGGGTGTATGGATTGGCAAGGGGGGTGAGGTTTTGGAGTGGGGGAGTTTTATGTTTTTTGGGTGACGGGAGGACGAGCTGTGTTTGACCCCAGTGAGCTATGGGGGTTTTTGGGGCGAGCAGTCCGGTAGCATTATAGGTATCGCTGTTAAGGAGTGTTGGGGGTACCGTTTAAGTGATGGGGGGGGGGGGGAGAGCAGAATCTCTGAGGCGAGGGAGTTTTTCGTTTTTTGAGGAGCGATGTCTTGCGGTGCGTTTGACTGTACCAGTCGTTTGGCCGCTGCGATGGTGGATGAGGTTAGTAGGAGCAGGGGGGGGTTGGCCATACGACTTTGTGGGTTAGCGGGTGTTGGTGAGTTTGAGTAACGGTCTGTTTTCGCGTTGGAGATTTAGGGGACGGAAGACGGAGTTATTTGTGGGGGGGGGTCGAGGGGGAGGGGTTTGGGGGGTCGGAGGGGATGAGAGGGGCATAGGAGGGTGCTGTAGCTTTGTAGGGGAGAGGAGCATGTAGGTGTCCCCACACGTCCTACTGGGACCCAGAGGAGAGACGGGTCTGGCGGTTTTGTGGGAGGGGGGATGGAGAAGGTCCAGGAGGAGCTTTTTAGGGGAGGGTGGTGATGTTTTGGTTTAGGTCTGTGCCTGTTTCAGAGTTTGGGAGGGGAACGTTGTAACAACTGAGCGGGGGGTGGGGTGACTTGAAGCTTTGTGGTGTGATGCGGATCGTAGGTTTGGTGTGGGAGGAGGTTTTGGTCAAGTAGGAGTGTGAGTGGAATGAGAGGATGGGTGGGGAAGGGGCGAGGTGGGGTGTCGGGGGGTAGGGAGGGGGGACGTTGGGGGGGGAGTAAGGGATTTGTGGGGGGGATGGGGGGGGAGGAATGAAGCGGGGGGTGGGGAAGAGGGGTAGTTGGGAGCTAGTGCAGTGGGGTTTGGAGATGGGGATGGGGGGAGAGGTGGAGTGGGGTGTGGGGAGGAGGTTGGGGAAGTTTCCAAGGGACGGGAGGGGGGTTGAGTGTGGTGCGATGAGGGGGAGTCGGGAGGGCAAAGGGGGGTAGCTGGGGAGGAGAGGGTGACTGGTAAGTAGAGGTGAGAGGCGGTCTCGGTGGCGGCAATAGAGGGGGCGAACTGTGTCAGGTATCGCTTCAGGGGGCACAGGTTGGGTCAGGCTGTAATGTCCTCAAGGGCTGTAGAGGTGGGGCGCTGGGTCCGGAGGAGGTGGCAGTGGGTGGGAGGTAGCGAGGTGGGAGGGAGATTTTGGTCAGGGGGAAGGATTGGAGGGGTAGGTTGATGGAGGGTAGAAAGTAGGCCAGAGTTCAGAGTCGCTAAGGTTGGTGGGGAGTAGGAGGTTTGGGGGTAAGGCGGAACATGTTAGTGGGGCTTGTAGACAGGGGATCGTATAAGGGTTGGTCGGGATTGGTGTTGTAGTTGGGCATTGAGGGCACGAGTTATGTTAGATGGTATGTCGTATTCGGCATATGGTGGTCCCCCCATTGTCGGTGTTCGACGCCGGGAAGGGCGAGCTCAGGGAATGGCGAGGTGGGAGGGCAGATTGGCAATAGGCCACTGATGCTCCCTCGATATACGCAGGGATGGACACAGTCCCTCGGGGAGGGGTGGAGAGTGTGAGCTGGAGGGGCGCAATCAAGAATACGGCAGGTTGGGTGAGCGGGAGATGCGGAGTGCAGGGGGCATTCCTCAGAGCGTGTGGGCCGGGGCTGGAGAGGAGGCTGGGAGGTAATGGGCAAAAAGAGAGGGGAGAGGAAGGGGGGTCTACTACTGATCATTCAGACAGCACTTATGATCAGCCCCAGCTCAGTGGGCCACTATTCAGTGTCCATCAGTGCCAGCTGTCAGAGTGCTCATCAGTTTGCACCATAATAGTTGCCAGTGCCACATCAAATGAGCCAAACATTCTCACGCGTGGCCTAACCAGTGCAACATCATTGCAACATATCAGTGGCCTCCCCAGTGCACATCTGAGAACATCTCTAGTGCCATCTGAGCTTTTCAGTGTCACCCCATCAGTACCAGTCAGTGCCACCATATCAATGCCAATCAGGTAGTACCACCCATATCATTGCTGCCAATCAGTTGCCATTTATCAGTGCTAGTCAGTGTCACTATCAGAGCCAGTCAGTGCCGCCTATTCAGTGCGCATCAGTGTCCACCTATCAGTGCCCACCTCAGTGCCGCCTATCAGTGCCAGTCAATGCCACCATAACAGTGCCAGTCCAGTGCCGCCTATCAGTGCCAGTCAGTGCTGCCTATCAGTGCCGCCTATCATTGCCATATATGAGTGCTGCCTTTCAAGTGCCCATCAGTGATGCCATGTCAATTGCCCCATTAAAAACAGTGGAGCCACCATACCAGTGCTAAGATCCTCATCAGTGCAACCTATCAGTGTCCATCAGTGCAGCCTATCAGTGCCCATCACTGCAGCCTCATTAGCGCACATCAGTGAAGGAGAAGAAAAAAAATCACTTATTTACAAAAATTTTTATAACAAAAAACTAAGAAAAAACTTTTTTTTTTTTTCAAAATTTTCAGTGGTTTTTAGTTTGTTTAAGAAAAAATAAAAACCCAGAGTTGATTAAATACCACCAAAATAAAGCCCTATCTGTCTTAAAAAAATGATAAAAATGTCATATGGGTACAGTGTTGCATGACCGCAAACAATTGTCATCTTCAAAGTGTGACAGCACTGAAAGCTGGAAAATTGGCCCTGGGCAGGAAGGGGGTGGTATAAATGTGCCCTGTAGGCTTGTGGCTAAAGTGAACTCCTTGCTTTGCCTTTCCATGGAGGAAAGCACAGGTTCCCTAAGCATGTATTATTAATAGTTCTTCTTCCAATACATTATTATATAATACATATATTTTTAAATAAATGCAATTGAAAAAAAAATAATATTATTCTGTGACTGCTCCAAAGCTCATCACCATCACATATACTGCCATAACAATTGAATCAAATTCTGCTATCGCAAAGAAAGAGATAAATAATTTAATATTAACCAAGTGGAGAGCAAATAGCCCAGTCATGGTTAAAGATAACTACATTTTTCAATAAAACCAGTCATATTTAAAAGTTAGTTTGGCTGTGTGTTGTGTGTGACAAATGATTAGTATTCTCAAGTTGGAGTTGGAGTTGGAGTAATGGGAATTTATTCAATATGCTGTGCAAGGTTTAAATATTTTTAATTAAAAGCCAGAGAGAAGCAAAATTATCAATGTGACAAACTCGGTTTTTGAAGGCGACATTTGGTTTACTTTTCTGAGGTTTTATGTTGACAAGAATTCCCTTGCACTGTAATGTATGCTTGTTTTCACACATACAAAAATCTGTTATTTGGATTTAGTGTTAAAACGAGGAATGTGAGAGTAAGTACACCAAAAATTAGATTTTTTTTAAAAGACCCATCAATAATAGATTACTGAAGTCTACATGCATTGTACTACAAAAATAAACATAAAAAGTAAATAATTTAAAGAAGTATGAAAGATTAGCCCACCATAAATATATATTAAAATTTTAGTTGATCTGAAAGAGTTAAAGCCTACTAAAACTTTTTTATTTTTTAAGATAAACTAGGGAGGTGTTAGAACTCAAGATGTTATTACTAGAGCGATGAGCGAAGAAATGAAAATTCGATTCGACTGATTCGGCGAATTCGTGGACAATATTCGATTCGAGTCGAATAAATTCGCTGTGAATTTAACTTAAAAAAGGGTGTTTCTAGGCTTCAGAGAGACGTTAATATTAGTGCAGAACACTGTACCTTTAATTTAAATGCCCTTGGAGTCTGCTGGGGAAGAGAAAATAATACTGTCTGTCAGTATGACATGCAGATGAGTGCCGTCGATCTTAGAATCACTGCACACTTCACTCCTTTGGCCAGTCACGGGGCCAAAACCAGTGTTTGGAGCCACAGTGTGGCGGTGGAGGCAGCAGCAATGGGAGGCCATACAGCAACCTATGACAAAATGGAAACCAGCAGGAGCGTGAGGAGACCTGAAAGTGGCACATGGCAGAGTGGGAGCAATGGGAGGCGGTACAGGGACCAGGTCACACTGTGGGCCCAGCAGCAGCGTGACCAGGCGGTACGGGGGCCCATGGCCGATATGGGGCTTGGTGGCACCTATGGAAGGCCTGTAATCTGCCAGCAACCTATGACAAAATGGACAACCGCAGGAGTGTGAGGAGATTTCAAAGTGGCACATGGCAGAGTGGAAGCAATGGGAGGCCGTACAGGGACCCAGGTCACACTGTGGGCTCAGCAGCAGCGTGACCAGGAGGTACGGGGGCCCATGGTCGATATGGGGCCTGGCGGCACCTATGGAAGGCCGCTAATCTGCCAGCACCCTATGACAAAAATGGACAACGCAGGAGTGTGAGGAGATTTCAAAGAGGTACATGGCAGAGTGGAAGCAATGGGAGGCCGTACAGGGACCCAGGTCACACTGTGGGACCAGCATCAGCGTGAACAGGCGGTACGGGGGCCCATGGCCGATTTGACCTCATTCATCCCATAGTCCTGCCGACTCACGTGAATAGGTGGCCTCCTCAAAGGGCCTGAGCAAGCGCAATAGGTGTCACACATGAGCTGACAATGGCTGACATCTAAGTTACACAGGGAGTACCTTTTATCCGCTTTTAACATCAGGAAATCTGTGATGCCTTTAGCTGTTCGTAAAGGCGGGTCTCTAACATATGTAGGGTTGAATTACACCTTGTTGCAACGTCACAGCTCAGATGTTTCGGAGTCGGTACGGGGGGACCCATGGAGGCAGATTACATGTCTGGCAAGCAGCAATGACGGAAAGCCCGTCAGGGTTTTTAACGGGCCCCCCCTTGGGGAGACTCTAGCTTGGCAGCAGCATGGGGGAGGGGGGGTTATTTTATTTTTTTTTGGGGGGAAAGGGGCCCAGGGCAGTTTAAAGGGTTTGGCAGCAGCCTTTTGGGGGCCCGTAATCTGCCGGCACCCATGTAAAAAAATTTTAAACCACCAGCAGGGTGAAAGAGCCCTGAAAGTGGCAAAATTGGGCGGGCAGAGTGTGGGGATGGAGACAGCGCAAGGGAAGGGCCCCGTTACGGGGGCCCATGAGAGACTTGGACTTGGAAAATAAGGAACCCACCCATGAGGAGGCGGCGGTATAAAGGGGCCCATGGCAGATTTGGGGGCCCTTTGGGGCAGCGGGAAGGTATGTGGGCCCCGTAATCTGCCTGCACCCTAGGGTAAAAAAATTTTTTTTAAATACACCCCGCAGTGTGAAGAGACCAAAAAAGGGGGCACCATGAGGCAAAAAGTGGGGCGTTTGGAAAGCCGCAGCAAGGGGAGGCACGTTTTAAAAGGGCCCTTTAAAAGGGACCCCTTAGTTTTATTGGCAAGCGGGGAAATTGGGAGGGGAAAGGGGGTTTAATTATGGGGGCCCAGGGCAGATTAGGGGCCCGGGCCCCCCAGCAGTTTAGGTGAGGCCCGAAATTTTTCCCTGAAACCCCTTATGTAAAAAAATTTTAAAACCCCACCAGCAGTGTGAAGAGACTGAAAAGTGGAGGGGGCCAGGCAGAGTGTGGCGTTGGAAAACAGCAGCAATGGGGGCCTTTTACGGGGGCCCCCATGAGGGGGCCCTTCTGGGATTTGGGGCAGCAGCATGAGGGGGGTTAAAACGGTATAAAAGGGGCCCATGGCAGATTAGGGGCCCCTGGCAGAAAGTTTATGTAAAGGCCCCCTTTAAATCTGCCTGCACCCTTTTTTTGTAAAAAAATTTAACAAAACCAGCAGTTTTAAAAAAGAGACCTAAAAAGTGGCACATGGCAGAGGGGGCCGAG